TGTACAATAACATGATTCAGAGATTTCTTTTAAAATATGCCAACAAGAAAAAACAGTAAGAGGATAATGAAAGAAGATTAACAAACTTGATAATATCCTCAAATAAGTGAGACATGAACGTCCACTGTATTATTCTCCTTGCTTTTACATATATTTCTATTAGAAATTTTTAAAAATAAAAAGAATAGGAAAGAAGAAAAGAATTGTAGGTCTTCCCTCCTATTGAGGAGGGAAGGTCTGTTGAGGGTGAGGGACAAAGGCTCAGAAACTCTGGTGAGTTTCTAACATAAATAATAATATGCCAGGTGCAGTGGCACACACCTGAAATCCCAGCAGCTTGGGAGGCTGAGACAGGAGGATCACAAGTCCAAAGCCAGCGTCAGCAACTTTGTGAAGGCCTAAGCAACTTAGTGAGACCCTGTCTCAAAATAAAAAATAAAAAACAGGCTGGGGATGTGGATCAGTGATTAAGCACCCCTGGGTTCAATTTCTGGTACCAAAATAATAATAATAATATGACATGGAAAGAACACTAAAACTAGTTTATCAAACATCAACTCCCTGTCAAGGACTGGGGTATGATGAGCTAGACAGGATATTAATTCACAGAGAATCAGTACTTTTGCAAACACCTCCTTTTTAAATCCTCATAATAATATTGCTCAGCAAAGTGGATATTATTTTTATGGAAGAGTCAAGATTACCCAACCAGTAGAGATTTTTTTTGTTTTTGTTTCATATTCCAAAAATTTTTCCACAAATAAGACTTCTCCATATTATGCACATACCATTTTTCTCATTGACACATGTTTCTTAAGTGCCTTCTGAGTCTCAAAAACTGTAGACAAAATGATAAATACCACCCTGCCCTAACGCTGCTCGCAATCCAGCTGGGAGGGGACACCTGGAAATAAATGTCACCTTATATTACATGTCACCATCAACATACAGCAAAGAGGTAGGTATTGCATATAGAAAGAAGAATCTTATCTATCCTACCTCCTCCCCTTCACCTGGCCAAGAGACTTCCAAAAGTCCCACCTACCCATAGAAGTTTCCCAAGCTCCTATAAAATACTAACCTGTTTTCTCCTACAGCCCTCAACATATACCTTATTATAGCATCCTTCATAGTCTGACTCACCTTAGAATTCATGGCTGTCCCATGGGCCATCCAAAGGCAGGAACCAATTCACCTATTCACCCTCAGGCTCCCAACTCTTAGAGCAGTCCCTTGCACTTATCTAGCCATCAATGTGTTACATGAAATGAAAAACATTTCCAGACAAGCACAGCCAGGATTAATTTTATACTATCCCAACTGCCCTTTCAATTTTACTTATTTTGCTTCTAGAAATATTCAGCATGGAAATTTAACAAAAATCTCAATGTCTACAAAATAATCAGATATAAATAAAAATGCAAAGATCAAATCAGCTTCTATGAAATAATACTTCGTTCACAAAGTCCGAGATCCAATATAAATAGTTACATTCTCGGAAGCTGCTGTGCTCTAGAAAACAACTAGCCAGCTTATGTTTTTGAAAGACTGATTTTCTTTGTTTTGTTTTGTTCATGAAAGAAACTGGCCTCTTTCATTTTGCAAGAGATCACTTTTTCCTCCTCCTTTATTTCTTGAAAGGAACTTGCTCAAAATAGCTCGTTCAAGATCATTGAGCCATTTAACAACAAAAATGCTCTTAGCATCTTGGGATCAGCTCTTTTTTCCTATCAATCTGTCCTTCTTCTCCATCCTGCCCAAGATAACTTCATATTTTTCTGCTTTTTTACTAATATAATGGTAAATGTCTCCTCTGTTGGATATGCTCATGAAATGTTCATCATCTCCTGAGTTCTAAGGTTCTGTTCCTGGAAAGGGAGAGATATCATCAGTTAGGAGTTGCCAAGGTTATGAACAGGGAAACCAAGAGGAAGAAAGAGGATGATACAAGACGTCAGCTCAGCCTACACTGTGGATTTATGGGCCAATCACTTTAGTAATAGGTTCAATATAGGCAGTTGTAAGGCTACAATACTTTTCCTAAATGGATAGATTTCCCAGGATTTTCCCTCTGAACTAAAATCATCAACAAATCAATGGGAAAGTCATCAGAATCAAACTGGAATCACTTAAGTTGAAACCTAATAAAATAGAATCACAAGACCTTAAAGGGAAAGCTCCCAAGCACACATGTTTATTATAAAAACTATTATAAGATCTCCCTGAAAACTACAAGCTTGCACGAAGGTTACTGCAGTCTTTCACAAAAAAAAAAAAGCAAACAACAAAAAAAAATCCCATTTCTGTGAGAATGTACACTCAACAACTCTCTGTTGAAATGTAAACTGATACCCCACCTTGTAATTGTAATTGATCCTTATAACCAAATTATTGCAAAAATAATTTATGTAGCCTTCCTCAGCTACCTTTAAAAACCCATGTTTTCCTTTACTTCCCCAGATATCTCTATGATTCAGCATAGCACACATCCCCCAGATTTGCAAATTCCCTGCTCATTCCCAAATAAAACCATTTTGCTTTAGAAAGTCTCTCCCTTTTTGTTATTTAGATGCACACTGCACAGAATCCAGTTTGAGCTTCTTATCCCAGCATCCAGTGGCCTCCTGATCTTTCCAACTCCCTGACCTTACTCACTACCACTCCCCTAATTCTAATCAAGACTTTTGCACAAACCCAGCACATATTTTCCCATTGCTTTTCTTTGTTTGTCCTCTTTCCTCAATCTGGAACGTCCTTTCTCTACATCTTTATGTGACAAGTCCTAATCATCTGCCAAGACTCAGTTAAGAGCATTTCTTCCTTAAAGTCCTTTAGCCCTTAACTACATCTGTCATTCTCCTGGTTCTCAGTACTTGTTGCCCATAAGCGTTGTGTGGACCAGCAGCAGAGTACTGCCTGGGACCTAGAAATAAAGGTGCCACTTGAGCATCTAACTATGGAAAACAATCTGTACCTGGACAATGACTTGTGACTGAAAAAGTGTCTCCAAGATATTTGAGAGTGACTTTCAAGTGAAGTCTGACTATAGGTCTGTAGTTGCTCAGAACAAATGGTATCAATATATTCATTCAGTGAATCAACAAATACATATTAAGCACCTGCTATATGACAGGTACTGTGCTTGATACAAGAGATGTGGAAATGGTGAATGAGATCAAGTTTCTACCCTTGTGAAAGCTATAAAATGTAAGTCTAATAAAATGCCAGATTGAGTCAATGAAATACATTTTGATAATGCAATATATAATAAGACAATGGGTGAGCCCAAAATGCAGTGAATTCTAGAGGAGGTGAGAACATGGCACCTATGGAGGATTTCAAACAGGTCAGAATGATTGAACTCAGGATACTGGGTAGGGATGGAAAGACAAGACTGAGATAAGAAGGAGTTAGATCACGAATGGATTCATAAGCCTGAATAAGGAATTTGGACTTTGACCCTCTGCTGATTGTCTTTTGTCATATCTCACCAAATCCCCACTCAGATTCATTTTTTACCTTCCTGTGTACTCTTGCAGACTTCTTCACTTAACTCCATTGTTCTATTTGACTTGCCGTAGAATATGGGTAGTAATGGGAAGCTGCAGCAGGTCATCTGTGGTCAGGAGGGAAGTAAGGGTCATGGTATATTTTCCCCACTCCCTTAATAACAACAGCAGTACTTGCGTCCTCTGCAACAAAGGCTCCACGAGTTGGCTCTTCCTCCAGCAGTGGTAATCCAGTAACTCTATTTGTTCTCCTTGTCCCCTTGATACTAGGGTGCTATAGGTACCTTCCCA